TGGCCACAAAACAATGATTCTAACTCCGACCGCAGTGATCGTGAAGGCTGATACTGGGTAACAAGCTCCTGTATGTACTGGGTAGCTGTTCCATGCAATGCCTTGTATGTGTATACCAAAATGTTGTACTGCGACCTGTATCGTACAGGTAACCAGTGCAATGAAAATAGCTCTGGTGCGATATGCTCTCTTTTGAGTACGAGTAATCTGCCGTGCTGCACTGTTCTGGACCCTTTGCAGACGACTCGTTAGTTTATCAGATAAACCACAGCGTAGGGCGTTGCCATAATCCAACCGAGAGGGCGACAAGTGAATGCGCCAAAATCTTGCATGCATATGCAGTTATAAACTACCGGATACAGCCGATGTTCCTGATCTGGTAGTAAAATGAATGGCAATAGCATTCACTTGTTTCTCCAAGTTCAGTGAACTATCAAAGTATACCTCTAGGTTTTTAACAGCTAGGACAGTCTCAATAGTTCTGGCACCGACCTTGAGCTAGAGAGCCATTGTTTGCTGACACCTTGGGGAAAAGACGATTAGTTCCGTCTTTTCCTGATTAAGCTTTAGCATGTTGTCGTTCATTTAGGCACTGATATCTGTGAGACAAGCTTCCATATTTTCTGAAATTGAATCCCAACTGTCCTGTGGTTTGATGATCTAAGTAGAGTTTCCCATGCGGTAGGCCGATTGCAAGTTGTGATGGAGACTGTTTGCATGAAGAGATGCACCTCTTAACGCCGGGACACAACCTTCTCCAAGATCTTAGAAAAGTCAGAATTGATACTAGGCGGTAGTTCTTCAACTCATCCTTGTCCATTCCAGGCTTCTTCAACAATGGTCTAACATTTGGCTTCTTGAAACACAATGGAACCTTGACTCAGCCAATGATTTGTTCATGATTGAGGTAATCAAAGGAAGCAGTGGTTCAAGACATTGCTTTAATATGTCTGTAGGCAGTGGATCAACTCACTGGACTTCTAATGCGAGGTCATGATGATATTGCGCAACTCGTCTGGGTTGTTGGTGAGAGCTTTGTCAATGGTTCCCCATCAAATTTAATGTCGGCAGTCATGACAAAAATATCATTTTATCATTTATCAGAGTTCATTTCGGCAATATTTTTACTGATCGAGCTGATTTTATTCAAAAAAGTAATCCCTGAACTTTTTTGACAAGTCTTTTCAGAATTACAGCTTGGTAGGATAATTTCACCTTTCTGACCCATAGGGTTTTTGGTGAGTCTAAAAGGCTGTCTATGGTCCTTACCACATTCTTCGATTCTTTCTGAATAATAAGCCTTCTTTGGTTGAATGAGAAGTGAACCAACTAGCCGACATTGTTCCCTATAAATCTGCTGGTGAACAGTTATTTTGGTCCTTCGCCGCTGTATCTCTGCTTTTCCACCGTTCTGTTTTTCTGCGTGGAGATTTCCATTATACATTTTCCCACGGGAGATTCGGTCTCACAGTTATCACTTTTGTCTGTAGAGGTGCATGTTTCTCTATAAGGGCTTCTATACCAGATGTGTATGCTTCAACAAGATCATCAACCCCGTCGTCATTAGATTGGAGGGCGGAAGAAGACTGACTGTCATTGTTGAATATGGTATTGAATTTTGCTGAATTTCCGGAAGCTCACTTCTTTCCTTGCACGATCTGTCTTACTGCAAGTCAGTATTGCATGGACAACAAGATGGTCACCAGATTGGTTCCCCTTTGCATCGCTTGTACATGGATCAATCACTGAAATTGCTCCATGAATGACTGAGTTATCTTCCCTTGTTATGACCGCATACAGTATATGGCCGTTGGCGTGTGTAGCTCGATCATGTCATATGCTGATACAGACCCTTGAAATCTAGTAGCCTAGAGAACTGGCGAGCATCAACATTAGATATATCGTCTAAGTGGAAATTTTAGTCACCCGTGATAATAATCTCTTGTGGTACAACAACTTGGTGGTATAAAAAGGTAGATCACTCATCAAAACAACACTGTATTTCGGAAAGCATTCTGTTTAGATGGATGGAGGCCTGTAAATGATACATAATCTAAATTGCTTATCATCAGCAATGACAAAACAAGCCATGTGCTCAAAGTGTGTGTATACATCATCATGGCTGAAAGAGAGATGTCTCACACTGAGGCCTTTCTTAAACAGAACAGCCACCCCACTACGAGTAGCATTATGGAGGAATCCATAGCCTGTTGGTATTATCTCTGCTAGTACCTGGTAATCGATATCTGAATCTAACCAGGTTTCTGCCAATGCAAGAATGTCAATGTCCTGAGATGTTACAAAATCTCCGATGGACAATGACTTATTCTTCACCGAGCGACAGTTTAAGGACACTACACTCAGATAAATAACTGACCTACAGTGACCTGCTGGTGTTGGCTTGATGACATGTAGATTCTCGTACGATACTGATGATGTCGGAATCCGTGTGGAAGTAACGTAACGAGAATGCACAATAGTGTTGATGCCTGATACTTCTGTAAATGCAGTGTGACCCTGCAAGAAAGTCTGCGATGCGGACAGATCATTTGTAGTGACCAAATGGATGAGATTATCAGTGTTCAGGGCCGAGTGGGTACAGCCACTGGTTCCGTTTGATTTAACACCGATAACACTTGGTATTCGCCTAACAGCATCCTTTTTTGCCCGTGTCCCACATCTTGTGCGCAAGTTTTTTTTTCTGAATTTGATTCTTGAAAATCCTCCAAAAGATGTGTAGTAAGTAATATCATAACCCACTGGTCCAAGAGCCAGGAGAACAGATCTACTATACTTAAACATATAAGAATATGATATCAACTTCCGATGATATACAATTCATACAATTAGCATATACATTAATCAATACAATTTAGAGGAATTCAAAGGAGCTGCCTTTTTAGGTGCTAACTACTAGCCATATGCCACCTGGCCAATATCTCCATATGTGTGCATGCCTGTTTGTGTGCTGGTGATGTATTGTGTTCTGTTTGTTGTTGGACCGTGCCTCCAACGGCATCATTTATAGTGACACCTTACTTGAATGCTATACAGCAAAGATACAGCAACATCCACCCGAGAACATTTTTATACTCGGTTGTTGGAGTTGTGTGGGCAGGAGAAAAACACCCCGGTCGCCTGCGTGGACGGCCAAAGTGTTAACCACTCGACCAATCCGCCAACGCGTGAAACATAATCAATCGAGGAGAAACAAAGAATCGTGTTTCCCTAAAGGGAATAAATATTTTAGAAAAATCAATATCACAATAGTATAGATGGCAATGTTGACGCGCCATTGTTAGGGTTTACTTTCGTCATTCGGAACTATGTTGTTGTTGCTCTTGTCCATTTTTCTAGGGAGGCTCCAAATAAGATATTTCTTATCTGGAAAACTCGAGCGCGTGGGGTCGACGTGAGGTATTATTGCCTCGTCATGTGTTAGAAGACCTTACTTAAGTAATAGAAACTACTATATTTTGCCAATAGTAACGGTGATGACTATAATACTCTTTTGACATTAACGATGAAATACTTTGAAAACACTTTGATTTCGGTGCGTTTTTTTTACAAAGGTCTCCTTATTTAAGGAAAAGTTTTCTATTTTAGTCAGGTTAACTCAAATTTAATTACTGAAATGTATTTGGTTTTCCAAAACTTTTTATTCATTCTTAGTTTAGATTATATTCATATATATATTTACTGATGTATTGTCGCTTTTAAAATGTTTTGTGTGATAACTGTTGAGGAGAGGGCTTTAATAATATTGTAAACACTTGTGCCCGATCCTATTGCTGTAAAATAAAAAGCAATAAATATGTTTAAAAGAAACAAAGGAGAGACCTGCAGAGAGACACTGAGCAACTTGAAAAGAACAGATAATAACACCAATTATCTCAGAATTTTATACGTTATATTTCCATTTTTTAGCTCCATTCTTGATAACCGGAAATGGCTAACAACTACAGTAGTCGGGAATCTACGTCCCATTTAGATTCCATGGACAGTTTTGAGACGGTTAGAGCCCTGAATACACACACACTTTGTACCGACAGAGGTAAGTGTCAAAGGCGTGACAAACCTACTAACCAACGGCACGGAGTCAGGTCTGACGCCAGCTACCATTTATGATAATTCATTATTGATTGACTTTTCAATATGTTTTCTTTATTTGTTCTAGACGTCTATAAAGCTAAATTGATCAATTAAATCCCTTACATCAGATTCTTGCAGATTATTATCATTAAATACCATCAGCGCGTATATTACAATTTATTATCATACATTTTGTGCCAAAAAAAAATAACTGTTCATGCTGTTTTAATGCGTCCCCCCCCCCCCCCCCCATGTGACTGAGTGGAAGCATAACAAACAGATAGTTGAAGATAAAGGCTAAAAGATAGAAAGAGGTAGTGATTGGTTTTTATCTGGATAGATATGCCTATATACATCAAAATAACATTTCTTAAAACAGGTGTGTCACATGTCTATTTTTATCATTCATATTCTCTGGCCTATATTAATTTTAAATAACTATTTTACAATATATACAGTTAAAATCTCTAATAATCAAAAATACAAATTCGAGGTTCTTATATACCGCTTTATCACAACCTAGTTCGTAGGTACTGTCACAGCGGTTCACAAATTATTTTAAGATATAAGGTATTTTGCAACCAGCCAACATATTTCTCAATTCCCTGGTGAGCATACAGCCAGTGCTGCCATTTCGGCGCACACAGCTAGCATTCAGCAAGTCTAGCACTGCCCAACCACGTACTCATTTACAGCTGAGTAAACTGGAACAATCAGAGTAAAGTATCTTGCTCAACGATACGACACAGTGCCGTGCAGTGACACGAACCCGCAACCCTTCGGTCACGAGCCCGGCGTCCTACCAATAGACTACCGTGTCTCCAAAGATGCTTTAAAGATGCAATATCTATCAATAATGTTTACGTTTGTTTCTATGTCCTTGTCCAGGCCCTTGTAAGGACCAGTCTATGACAGACACTGGTAAACGTATACAGTTGGTGAAGATGTTGTGTCTCACCATCATACCCATCTTGGGGCTTTGGGGATTCACCTTCTACACTCTCACGGACACCATTAGCAGAAAATCGGCCAACGAAAAGGTAGGTTATTATGACAACGTTAACTGATACACAAATAACCAAAGAAAAGAGGAGGTAATTTGGTGATATGTTTAGCTAGCACCGATATGGCCATCGAAAAGGTGGGTAATTTGGTGTTAGTTTTGGCTACCACCGATATGGCCATCGAAAAGGTGGGTAATTTGGTGATAGTTTTGGCTAGCACAGATATGGCCAAAGAAAAGGTGGGTAATTTGTTGTTAGTTTTGGCTAGCACAGATATGACGAACGAAAAGGGGGGTAATTTGGTGTCAGTTTTGGCTAGCACAGATATGGCGAACGAAAATGGGGGTAGTTTGGTGTTAGTGTTGGCTAGCACAGATATGGCGAACGAAAAGGGGAATAATTTAGTGTTAACTTTGGCTAGCACAAGTATGGCCAACGAAAAGGTAGGTAATCTGATGATAACTTAAGCTAGCACCGATATGGCCTACGAAAATGTATATATGACGTGTATTTTCATTTTGAATGGAAATATGCTAAACATATAATGTCTTTATTGTTGTGTATTGGTTGGTTTACTCCAGAACTGACCGATTAACCTGTTACTCGGTCGGGTGATTTTTCAAATAACCGGTTACTAAAATTCGTCCGGTTTGGCAAACCCTATAATATGTACAAATTGATCATATTATTTCACAAATTCTTCGACACAATTTCAATTCATTTTTAATACCACATAACGTATCATAAGCAGTTAAAGACAACTGGATTAAGATCTTCGCTATGGAGATAATAATCTGTTCCGTTTTCATATAGACGAAGAAGGAGTTGCAACTGAGTGTGGAACTTGGCAATCTTATCCACCATCTGCAACAGGAAAGGGACATGAGCGTGCTGTATCTGAGTGCCCTCGGACCGGAGACAAAGACATTCCTGCTAACAGATTATCTGGAGACAGACAAGGCCATATATGCCCTCAGTGACTGGCCGTCGAACTTGGATAACGAGAAGAGATCGGAGTTTGAGTCAAAGGATAAACTGCAGGTAAGATAGGGTCACATGGTAGTTTCATAATTCCAATTTAAACTGAACAAGCTTTTCGACTCTATTGTGTTAGACCAAAGTTCTATATATCTGCGACGGTTTTCCTTGTAACGATATTGATATTTATAGCACTATTCGTTAGCAACACCTTTTCTTGTTTGAATTTTTGAAAGTCTTGTTGCTATAGCAACGGGATCAATTTTGGATGACAGTTTTATTTTCGCATTTGAGTGTAACCTCCTGCTTTGTACGGGAGAGCCGTGGGTGGAATCAACTATCGGATTTAGCCAGGAAGTAACCACTTGTTTCCTCCATCTCTCTTCATGCCTTCTCTCTATCTTATCATTTCCTATCCTGATATTCTGGTACACTTCTGTTTGCCAAAGAAAAGTCATACGACGGAACATTTTTGATAAACAACATGTGGTACCCCGTATTTTTCTCTCTGTCTTCTTCCTGCTGAGACGTTAGATGGAATATGTACACTGATGTAAAATGTTTTGTTTTATTCTGATTCGTCAACGATGTTTAATTTTTTTTCCACTGTCAATTTTCTAATAAATTATATTCTACAAGTAATTTTGTTATATGCGGTAATAGTGATATAATTTGGCACTTTTACGTGCAGGAGTACCTGTCTCGCCATCGCCAGCTTCTCAGTAAAAACAGGTACAATATCAACAACGAACTTGATTTCTACACCAATATCATCGACGTAGTCATCGTTTGGCTGTATAAGTCCATCACCCAGGGCAAGTTCGCTGTGGTCTGGAAAACCCTGGTGGCGTATCTGAAACTAACCAGTGGAAAACAGGATATAGGTACGTCTCTCAAGCAGCAAATAAATGTACGTATGTTTTAGAATAGGGACTACAAGTATGTATTTAAAACAAGATATATATGTAAGTATGTGGCCCCTACAGAATATGGGTTGGTCTCGCAAATAGAATGTAGTTACATAACTCAAACAATATTTATCACATGATGTACTGTGTCATGCAGAGATTTTACCCATGGCATATTTTTTTGCGTATTAACCCATGTGATATGACCTATCAGTCCTGTGATCGGTAGTTTGTTTCAATTGTAACGTCACGCATATGACAAGTAAATGACGTCACAGACGTACGCACTGGAGTCAAAATGGCGGCTTTTTACATTCCAACGTTGCATGAAAATTGGGTTTTTTTACACGGATTAATGCCACAAATCTTGATTATAAGATAAAAAGGATCTTACACTCGTTTTCATTTTATATGAAATTTATGAAACTCGCCAGAGGCTCGCTAAATAGAAAAATTCTTATACTCTTTTCATAAATCTTGTATGAAATGGAACCTGATGTAGAATCACATATGTATGTTCCTAAGAAAGTGATTATGCTTCAAAAATAATATACATGTAAGTATGTTACCCGAACTGAGTATGGGTAGGTCTAGCAAATGTATTGTAGTTACGTAACTCAAACAGCAGATAGGTACAGTTTATGTCTCTAACATAGGGTTATACGTATGTATTTCAAACAGAATATACAATATAGGTATGTGAACAATAGAATGTGCATGTGGTTATGCCTCTCATAAAGAAAATAGAGTTTTTCTCCCTAGAGTGAACATTCTCTTATTTTGACTAAGAAGTATTCGAAGTGTTAAAATTTTGGAAATGGCAACCGGTAAGCATGGACTTACTTGTAATTTCATTTGAAAGGGCTTGCGTTTTACTTTAGATATGCTGTATCAATTTTGACCCCGTAAAATTTCCTAGTTTTAAAGTATAAAATGTAACTATTGTAGGCATTGAGCGCGCCCTGGGCACACTGTTTTATGTACAGGGCGGTTTCCAGTCCCACAAATACTTTGAAATGTACAACAACCGTATCAACAGGTATGTGATGACTTTTTCTTGGTATTTCAGTAAGAAAGCACTCGAAGGTTGACATTAGATCTGCACTGTTACGCATACTTTACATGTAACATGCCACCTACAGGTCACATACACATAAATGACATACATCGAGGTGTAACGTTGATTGAAGATATACTCGTTTGTACTTTGTGTTTACCTCGCATGTGTTCATAGTAGATGCTCCAAGACCCACTGAATCTCAAGCGTCATTTGTAAACTTGTTTAGCGTCAAAGACGCACATATCTATGCTACGAACGGTGTTATCTTATTCCCTTCCTGTACTCATAGGAAGCACTCGCAAAACATAACTAAATTCCTATTGAAGAGCTCCACTTCCGGCCATATGGTTCCCCATGTAATATATGGTTCATTCGACCAATGTTGTAACTTTCCACAAGTATTTCATTCATTTGTATTGAATGAACCAATCTTATAGCATCCAGCACTCAACAACATATAGCTTACTTTATGTGTAACAGTCAAAATCAGAGAGTTTACCAACAGTAATAAATTGTATATAATCACAAACTCTGAAGTTATCACTTAAATAAAAATGGAAACTTAATATTCATTTCGCTTACAGTGTAGCCGAATCGACATCGACGGGAGTCCTTAAATGACCATAGCTGTTAACAGAACGCTAAACAAAATAAACTGTAACAATCTAATATTTGAGTCTACTCCAATATAATTTCTCGCTGTTACGATGTATAAGTAAGGCCCGTTCGTTATGAAAACAGTCGAAATTACAAATCATTTTCAGTTCAGTTCAGTTCTTTATTACCTTGAACCTTACGGCTCATCAGTTCAAAATAAACATATATACAAGGATAAACAATACAATCACTTACACCCATATCGACACCCACCCACAAATACACACACCCACACAAATATACAATTACATATCCATTGCTATAGTGTAGAAAGACATTCCTCTTTATCTTGGTACATAGTCTTTTCTTTTCTTATTACTCACTTTAATATATTTGGCTTTTGTTAACTTTTTTTGTTCACTGTTTCCATAAGTTGGATACATTTATACATGCTAGGTCTTTCATAATAATATTTCTTAATAAAACGCTTTCTTAAATCTACAAAACATTCACATTTTAATATAAAATGAAATTCATCTTCGATATCCCCACCCTTGCACTTTCAATCCTATCTACATTGTTATACCTACCAATTTCGATATTTACTTGGGGAGATGACAGTCTAATTTTTGTAATTGCTTTCAGATTTGTATTTCCTATTGGTTTTGTTAGATATGGTTGTAAACAGAATTTTTCGCCAATAAACTTGTACAGTGAACACTTAGAAGATGAATCTATTTTTTCTTTACATTCTTGCTTAAATATATCACACATTCACATAACATAATCGGATGTATTGGTATCGCCATATTGCCATATGTACCCTACTCCCATTATAAAAAGTTCGTTTCTTACTCCATTCATCCATTCACTACCATTTTCTAACATTTCTTGATAACATGCATGTAAAACACAATTGACAGTTTATTTTGATTTTAACCAGTATTCAAAAATTCTAAATGTCCTAATTTTTTCCAAAGGCAATCTTCCTAATTCTTGGTCAACCATAAAATTTGTCGTAGATTTCTTAACCCCTAATAATCTTTTACAAAAAATTAAATATATTTTCTCTATATCTGGTGCTTTATGAAAGCCCCAAACTTCCGCTCCATAATTAAAAATACTACAGACATATGTATCGAAAACATGAAGCTGAGTTTCAACGTTAAAATATTTTTCTTAGACACGTTAGATACTGAAAACAATGCTTTTCTTCCTTGTACAGCGATTTTTGTTGAGTTTTTTTTTTAATTCATTATTATTCCCATGTAATTAAATTCATCTACAATATCGAATACACATCCATCAAAGTACCACTTATCTTCTTTTCTTAATTTGCCTCCGTTACGGAAAACCAACACCTTGGTTTTCGAAGTATTAACCGTAAGATTCCATTTATTTGTATGAAGTAATAATATGTAACATTTTCTGCAATCCCTCAGAAGTTTCGGCCAATAACACCATATCGCCTGCATATATCATTAAAAATAAATTAACAGTTTGAAGCTCTATAGAAGAATACCCTTCTTTTAAAAAATTCATTTCGCAATGATTGACATACTATTAAATCGAAGTAAAGAAATTACCTGTACGAGATCAATTTAATGTCCCGCAGTTATTTTAACAACTTCACGGACATTTTTCGGTCTCAAGTGAAAAAGTACTGGCGACCTTGCTGACACAATCCGGTATTAATTATTTCCAGATAATAAACTGACTCTGATTAATTCAGTATTGTTTTCTTAAAACAGCAGTGTTAAGTATTTATGACGCAAAGTGATAATCAATATAATGTTGATCATTCCGTAAGATACATTCACCGGAAGTACTTTACAATCGTAAACATAAACTTATGTCAACGAAAATGGTCCATTTCGCAGGTCTATGCCCATGGAACAATAAGGTGTATGTTAATTGGTATATGATGTTATTAACCTAATTGTGTGTGATTTTTAATCAAATCGATTGTCATGTGATTTGTTTTTCTCGAAAACAAACGGTCAAAGGGAATCACTCTAAGCAACATGGCGCACGTGATGGCCCATTAATTTAAAATAAAATTTCTTAGGCTGTGTTTCGTCACATAAGAATCACAATCTGCTTTATGTGCACGATCTCGATGTTTTATGATCAATTTTTGTAAGTCGAAGTCCCGATGTTTCGAATTTTCCCCGATGGTCCCGCAAAGTTCGAAACATCGAAGTTTGATTATATATCCGAATAAAATGAAAAGATTACGAATTAGAATATGTTTTTCTATCACATGAGCACGTCACACGATGACATCAATACTATCACTTACTTTTCCCAAGATGTAAATCTAGTTCCGTTCTTTTCAAAGAGAATGGATTCACAGAAAAACTATATATAACTAATGCTTATGTCGTCAAACGATTTTATCAGAAATTGATGTCAAGGGTTTTCCTCTATATCTTCAATATCGGGGATGTGGAAGGGGCCAAAAATGATACTTTGCTTCTTTTGCAACACTTGGGACCCCCAACTACCCTATTTCGTCTTCTCTCAACTTTCCTATCCCTGAACAATTTCGCTATATAACCAAAGCTGTTGCAATGATATCAATTACATCAGAATTCTTAAATGATTTATTTAACTACAAATGTATGCATTCTGTTAGCACATATTTTGATTTAACTACGGAAAAATTTCGATATAATGCCCCTCTATTCATTTACAATCTTGTTTAATGCCAAGATGTTCTCAATGTCTTTCTGTGGGTTTTTTAAAATTATTCCTTTACACGTTTCCCTCAATTTATCGCCAAACCTCTCAATAATGCCAGAAGCTCCTTGGACAAACTGTGGCAGTAGAAAGAGGTTTCACTCTATATTCTATGTAACAAATATTTCCCATTCATGTTTTCTGTAGGTTCCGTGCGTTCTATACGACAGCCGAGTTGTACTCCACTCGAGTTGATCGTCTTTACTCTTCCGGAGTTAAGGGTGTCGGTACAAATATAACAGGTATAATAAACAACTTCCGGTTCGAGATCCAGCACAAACAGATGGGAACAATGTGGGTCCCGGATATACAAAATGCGCGTTATTGGTAAGTATCTTTACAACTTTACAATAATGTACATATATTTCGATCAATAATAATTCAGGAGCCCAAGGCAGATTATGTTCACACAAGCCGTAGACAACTGCAGTTAAAATCCTCTGTAGAGGACAATTTTAATGGACCCTGATAAATATCCACAATTGTTTTATTAGATGATATCAAGATTTTAGTATGGTCTCAAATACTCAATGAAGTGATGATTTCCTCAACTAGAATTTTCAAAATCATTCATATATACATGTAGACAAATGATCAATTGCAATCAAAATGCATTTCAAAGACAATGAAACGTTACCCGAAATATGACAATATTTTGACACTAACCAGGCCTGTACTCATGAAACCGTTTTCATGCTCAAGTATGGATTTTATGCTAAAACCAACCTTCATGTAGCTCCCTTAAATTATGTGACAAGGTTAAAAGGTCAAGTGTAAACATTAAAAACATATTCTTCATGTTTAAATTCACCTAAATGCTCACAGATCATTTTCAAAATGTGAATGTTTTTAATTTATCACAGAAACAAGAAATCAGTTTTTCTAACAGAATACGAGTTTGAGCATGATCACGGTTTCATGAATACTCGGCTCGTATTCATGAAACCGTTTTCATGCTCGAATATTGATTTTGTGCTCTTACCAACTTTCTTGTAACTCACTTAATCAAAAAGTCAAATTAAAACATTGAAAATAGTATTCGGCTTTAAGTCTCTTCAACTTGTTTTCCAAATCATTGACAAAATAAGATTTTATTATTAAGCTATAATCGGAACAAGAAATCAGGCTTGAGAACAGTTTCATGAATACGGGCCCTGGTCCCGGAATTTCTCTCATTCAATTACAATGAACCATATAAACATGTCGACATATTTCCTATTTAAGGTTTGACAACATGACGCAATACCTGGACACCTTGCTGGATATCCAACGTGACCTTGGTTACGAGATTATCGCACGTTTAGATGTCGTCATCGACGAGAGTACACGAGACTTGGCAATTAGTGCCTCTTTCTTAGCGGTCGTGCTGATTATGTGTCCGCTGGTTATATTCGCTACCGAGAACCTCACAAGCAGTATCCAAAAATATGCTCTAACTCTGGTCAATAAGACAAGAGAGTTGATGGAAGAAAAAAAGAAAACAGATTCTCTTCTTTACCAAATGGTTCCTAAGCCGGTAGCAAATAAACTTCAGAAAAACATACACATTGATGCGGAGTATTTTGATTCTGTAACGATTATGTTTTCTGATATATACGGATTCGCCAAAATGTCGACGGTATGTACACCTATTGCGATAGTGGATCTTCTGAATAATCTATACAGGACGATCGATGACCTTTTAGATGATTACAACGTTTACAAGGTCGAGACCATCAATGACTGCTACATGGTCGCTTCAGGTACTGTATGGGTAATCTTAGTCTTGAAGTCGAAATGGTTGATATCAAAAGCGTAAATGTTTTCCAAAAACAAGATGGCGTTTCATGATGACTCATTTCAACAGGTTGTGAAGAAGTTTCAAATAGGTGTCATGGTAACTTTGTGATTCTGATATCTAAGTATTATTGTAACATCAAACGCAGGTTTTTTTTACGTTCACATCATCATCATCATCATCATCATCAATCATATTGTATTACTGTTAGAGTGACAATTATTGAATTAGAAAATATTCGCGATACAAAACTTCTACCTGATTGCGTTGTGGATGTTTTAACATTGGAAATTATTTGAAAATATATATACTTAACATATCTTTGATATATAAATATACAGTATAATAGCGTTATTTTTTTTCAACACGAAAAACGCTGGTATTTTACCTTAATCAATAGGCCATTCATTTTCTGTTTGGAAGACAAGTTTCTGTCCTGCTTTGGTTATCAACCTTATGGTCTACATTTGAATGTGACGTCTGCCTATCGATTTACGCTAGAGAAGTACGTTATCAACCTTGCTGCTTCTCCCCTTATGTATAGGTATTCCGACAAAGAACGGCAAACAACATGTATCAGAAGTGGCCACTTTCTCCATTGCACTTCTTGCACTTGTCCAATCCAAAAAATTCGTCATATCCGGAAACAGGAGTATCCAACTAAGAATTGGAATAAATACCGGTAAGTTAATTCCGTTTATTTGTTTATTGATTTTGAAAAAGCTTTTGATCCTGTGTCTTAGAATTGTATTACAAAAACTTAAAATGTCTACAATTTTGGACCATCACTTAATCAGTTTGCTGATGAGTTTGTTATCCTTGACGGTTCGCTATTATCCCAGAATTTCAGGTTTTAAAATGAATTTCAGCAACACCAAGGTAATTTGGATAGGCAGTGAAATATTTTGTAATAATAAATATACAACAGAACATTATCTTTTAAGGGTAAGTACAAATGCATTGCCGGCAGTATGCTAGTGATCTTAACGAATACTATGAAAGCTGCATACGTCATAACTTATTGTTACATATTTCTAATTCTGAAGGATTGACTTATTTTGTTTACCATACAGGTCCGTGTATGGCCGGAATTGTTGGGTCGATCCTCCCTCGGTATTGTTTGTTCGGCGATACGGTTAATACGGCTTCCAGGATGAAATCTTATGGAATGCGTGAGTTTATTTCAACCATATTTAGGGTCACGAGAACAAGCATGTCTCCAGTATTGCCCAAACACAATATGCATGAAGCATTGTAACCCACCAACTTCAGATGGTGGGTTTGAAGATGGCGGGCTATTCAAATATCCCTTTGTCCTTGATCCGTCGTCCGTCCATCATTCCGTCTGTCCTAAAACAATTCTTGATAGCGCTATTTCTCAGAAAGTGCAAGAGGGATCTTTCTCAAAACTTCATATGAAGATTCCACATGGTCCATAGTAAAGCATTTCGAATTTTACGACTGATCAAGTAACCTAGATTGCCGACAGGCGCATTCTTGAATTTCTAGAGTTTAAGTTTGTTTGTGCTATTTCTCAAAATGTACTGGGGGATCTCAAATTCTCAAAATGAAGGTTTCCCATGGTCCCTCGTTATGCATATCGAATTTTGGGACTGATCTAATAATACAGGCGCCTTTTGAGTGCATTAAATTAAAGTTTGTTAGCGCTATTTCTCCGAAATTATCTTATGGATCTTTTTAGTATTTCAAACGAAGGCTTCCCGTGGTCTTATCTTTGAGTTAGCAACTTTTTGGGACTGATTGGAAAACCAAAATAACCAATAGGCGCCATCTTTAATTTTTAGAGTTTAAATTTGTTAGCGCTATTTCTCAAAAATTACTGGAGGGATCTTTCTCAAGTTTGATGTGTACTTGTTTTCTAGTTGTGCATGTTAACTTTTGAGACAGATCAGAAAATAAAAGTGGCCATTGACAAGTCATTTGTTATTTCTATTTCTATCGAAGTATGTAGGTTTCCTTTGGCCATTTTTGTGCATGTTAACTTTGTGTGACTGATTGAATAAACAAAATGGATGACAGGTGGGCATCTTAGATTTTTGACGGTTAAAATTTGTTAATGCCAATTCTCAGGAATTCCTTTTACAAATTTGATATGTAGGTTTCCCTTGGTCCCTCGTTGTGCATGTTTTATTTTGAGAGTGATAAAAAAACAAGATGGTTGCAGAAACAGATCTTTCTCATATTGCAGTGATCGGTTCGATTACTTCCTTATTATATACTACACTAGTCAATACATATATGTATGTAAAATGACACAGCAGTACGACGTTTAGATCAACCATTTGTTATTTAAACAATATTCGATATTTTAAATGTAAAAACATTTTTTATTGTAGCCAATCGGATTCAGATTAGTTCCAGCACGGCCAGTGCCCTCTTTAAGACTCGAAAGTTTATCACTCGCAAACGAGGAAGTATAACAATAAAGGTATGATGATTAGTAAATTAGTATTTTTACAACATTTAGTTTCAAAATTGATGGTTGGAAATCACGTTATTGTATTGACAAACTCAATAAACATTTTGAAACATCATACTAATTTGAATTCATTTTATATTTGACCCTTACCTCATATATTTGATTCTTTTCACCCGAGGTTTGACCTTTACTTCCGTGAATTTGATAGCTCCCCATCATATATTATACTTGACGTTAATATTCGCCGAGATGACATGTATTTTTCCTGCCCTGATATTTGACTCCCTCTCCAATAACTCTGATCCCTTTACCATAAAAACAACTGTTGACAACCTCTCACCAAATATTTTATTCCGTTCGCCTAATATATTTGACCATGACCGACATAGGCTTGTTTCATATCCCCTTTTATTTGTTACGTTGACATGCACAGATATATTCCATCTAACCTGACGCTTGACCTTGACTCCTTCCCCAAAAATATGTCGATGCTTCCGTGTAATATTTGACCTTGACCCCCAAAGATTTGAATCATATAACGTAATGTTTAAGCCTGATCTCCATAGATTTATCCAATGATGAACTTTGCCCTGTATTCATTTGATGGCCACCAAGATTAACGCCAATAACTGATTGATCTTTGCCTTTATATATTTTATTCGAGCATGCGATATTATTTGACATTGATCTCTATATAATCATTTTTTTCGTTTCTGATATCATATTCTGTTTCGAAAAAATAACATTGAACATCTGTTTATTTGATTTCAACATGTCTGATTATCAGTTAATATTGTGACAGTTACTAATCTCATTCGAATGATCCCTTACTGATTATCAATTTACCAACGGTTGACCTTGACCTCGAAATACCGGATGTTGATGTATCAGTGTTTGACCTTGACATTGCAGGGCAAAGGTGAGATGAAGACAGTTTGGCTGGTCGGGAAGGTAGGGGATAACACAGAGTTGTTAGATACTACTGGTCAAGAAGAACATTTGAGCCGGACCCCTATGGAAGCTCCCGATGATATTCCGGGCGAAATATTTCAACATTACAGCTACAGATTCTTTTCACCTCTTCCTATTACTCGCCCCAGAAGTAAACCTAAGGTCGGTTCCAATTATTTTACTTCTTAATTTAGAAACAAATGTAGACATGATTTTTTAATTATTAAAGGAAAAAATAGAAATGTTCCCTTACCAAAATATTTAGCTATATATCAACTAAATGTCAACCTATTCCGTACAATGTATATGCGCTCGCTATCGATAGGCGAAACGTTCCGGTCGAGTGCCATAAGAAATAGATAATTTCGTCACACTGTTGTACAGGGAAGAGAGCAAATCGCTCACTCAGTCATAGCTTGACAGAGGGGCCAGTTGCTCTTGAAACGTTGCGGCATTGTTTGGGTATAAAGTAAAACTTTGATACGTCCATAGTTTTGTTTTAAGGCAATGATTTTGATACTATCTGGCGTCAGTTTTTCGGACTACTTCTTCATTTTCCACGTCGGCATGAACGCAAGATGTAACATAATCAATGACATATTCTGTCTGGCATGAACATCAAATATCGTTCAATATGTGTATTTATGAGTGCATGTCAGGCACTTTTTGAAGATTTTTCTCGTAAAAGGAACAGCAATGTCTTGTATTCCATGCCGCAATCCAATTTGGCTTTTTCAAAAAGAGTTCGAGTAAATCATTGAAAAAAATTGCTTCATTTACCCTTCGTTTTACGAAGCAATTCATTAACCAATTCTTGCACGTTTGTGTTTAGGAGTTATAGAGGTTCATACATTCTCAAATTTAAATAAATAGTAGAGTATTAAAAATATTTGCAACGCCAATATAGATTGTTTAAGTACAATGTAAGATGAAAAGTTATCGTTGCGCAATTTTATCAGTGCGCTAAAGCAGAACTTGACCGGGTCGATCGCCGGTGTCCAGGTAGCTCAATAGGTTGAACGTCTAGAGTGCGGAGGTCCCTGGTTCGAATATCGGTCCGGTCGTTGCATTTACCTTTCCTGTTACTCACGTGTATAGTTATTTGGCCTTTTTTATTCCTGCAGAAGGCAATGGTCCGAGTGTTCCCAACGTCAACACGTGAGTTGGATACGGAAGGAGGCGATTTAAGAGAGCAGGAGTTGAAAACGGAAATGACGCAAGCGCCCCAAGAGGAGGCAATCAACATCCAAGACGAGCGGAGAAGCGAAGGGAGTACATACGAATAATACATGAAACAGAAGAGTTTCTTGATGGAATAATAACTGCGGTAGTGACCTTCGAAATGAAGCATTTGTAATTATATTCCTGTTTTTGAGATACTAGAATTACTGGTCCAACAATTTTCATTAAAAAGCTGATACCTTTAAATGAGCTAGACTGGTATCTCCAAAAATGCTCAAGGAAATATAATCCCGTAGCATTATGATGATAATAATGTAGGAACTTTCAAAATCAACTCGACATTTCGTAAAGATGGTTGATATGGACTATGCATTCAGTGGTTGAGGGAATACATTGTAGCAGGAAATTATCGATCTAATAAATATTCGCGCAATGCTAATTTCGCCCTTTACATTTCATGTTATATATGTTAAAGCTGTCATGCCTAATATGTCCTTATTTCAAACAGCGAAAAGGGCGAAAGCCAAAATGCGCCGAAAATTCTCCGGTATGCAATAATTTATACAAATTATTTGCGCATTGATCGTTCAGCTTTATATGTCAGTGATACTGAGGTAACCTTTTGCTGCATCAGCTATGGTGGAGTTAAATTCTTTCTTGTTTGAAACATTATTTACTAGTTGGGATATATGGGTATCTGTTCGATACTTGCTTTACAAATGTATCTGAGACTGGCGAAGTGTCGCAAACTGATGTCGGGTCCCGTGCAAGACTTGTACATAGTCGTGGTCTTTTGTTCACTTGAATACCTAAGTCTTCTCTGGAGCATAATTCATTACTATATCACTACATTCGCCAATTTTTTTATACATTTTATGTGCACATATAAATATTAGGACAGTGAAGTGTTGCATATAAAAATTGGACCTCGCACCCCTAAATATATATAACTCAACTTTCTAGAGTTATATATTCCAAAAGTAGTGTTTTGTTACGTTGTAATATTTTGATACATTTTGTTACAGGAATGTATCAGCGAAAATACGACCTAGTGCTTTACGACTATTTTAATTGCGTATTTCAAGGAATGACACGCGCGTAAATAGTTTGCCCTATCAGATATGAATGTGTAGATAATTTTCGTTATTTTAGTAACATACGAACACGGTTTTAATGGAAAACGTGTCTTTCTTGACATAATGTGTTGCTGCCATGACAACTTTTTTATTTTTTGCAATGATAGATGAAATATAATGACAAATGTCGATATTTAGCGACGTGATCCCTATAAAAATGTACAAACAATACACCCAGTATAGTATGGTTTAGTATATTATTGTTCATTGTCATTGGGTCATACTCCACGTCATGTTAATGCTTTACGAATAAAATTAAGTATAATTGGGGTCATGTTTTATCCTCTATTCCATCAAAATACGAAATATGTTATTGGATTTTCAAATCCCTTATCTAGATTTTTAATTTGTCCCCGATACTATTAAGACAAAAAAACATAATGGTTTCAATAGTTACACCAGTGCTGGATAAAATTTGACATTAAATTTTCTCAGATTTTGTCTAATTTTTCTCCGAGGACAATAGAGCACACTCTTAAAGAAATAAATATTTCTTCTTAATATGAAGAAATACATACTGATTTCTAAATACTTATTTATTGCATCAAGTTTTTCTCACAAATTTGCCTGATAGCTTCGAAAAGAAAAGTATGACAAAATCGATTGTCGAATTGTTTAGATTTGTCTTATTTACACACATATAACCTAGATTACATGGTAGCCGTAAATAAAACTAAAATTAATATTTTTATTTTTATGACAATATTGGGAAAATAGTCGAAATTAAACAAACAGTGGTTTGAAAGTTCAAAACAAGGTTTTCACTTTTAATTTTACATCGTCCTTTGGTGAAAAGTGTTGACTTTGAATTCAATTAACCCGTGATATTTTTCCAGAAATATATTCTACTCTTGTACTTAGTAATTTACAATCAGTAAGGAAGATATTGTTTTATTCATGTTGTTTCTCTAATTTTTGTTTTGAACTGTATAAACTTAACAGTGTGGTATAATATTTCCCCGTGTATATACTGTTTTATTTATCGTTCAAGTAGTTGTCATGCTTGTTCATGACAGTCATAAACAAAATACTTTGTAAAAGACGAGCCGCAAAACACAAGTACCAAGAATAATATGTAATAGTATATGAATGTAATTTTAATAATTATATAGTTTTAATTAGTGAAAATGAAGATTAGCAATTATTACGTACACGGCACAAGGATGTTTGTACTTTTATATTAATATTAAATTTAAGGCAGAATCGAACCACTTTTCTATTGCATGCCCCGAGAAAAGCGATTTTCTTGTTAAAGTTATGGTCAGCCCCGGTGGAGAACTAGCATAAGCGTTTGCCCTTGGTAAGATTTTCAAAACACAATCAATAAAAAAGAGTATGTTTATAGGAGACTTAAATAAAAAGTAATAATTTTGAAAAAATGTTTTGATAGTAAATAGGACTTCATTGAAAGGGACATATGTCAGTGTTAAATTTGATCGTTGTTTACTTAATTGAAAAAATGTTGTTGTTTTTTATTTTATTTTTTTATTGTAATAAACATCTCATGTATATATAGCGTTTGTTTGATTGTTTATTTGTTACTGGTTTTTGTGTCCTAGCAACAGCTATGTTATTTGCAGCGGTGCTTGACAAATGAAACTCGAAAGCTCGAAAAATAAGTTTCAAATTACTGTTTGTGTTCAAAACAACTTAGCATTTACAGATATATCATATAATACTGGTTTCAGAGATAATGGGACATCTGTATACCACTTTAACTCATTAACCCCTGATGACACATTTGAACTCTTCCTATTCAAAGGCTGGAATAGTTCATTATGAAATTTCAGGCGTGTATGATTAAAGACCGTTTTCATTATGGACCACCGGCCAAACAGTGAAACTATGCATTTGAATCTTTTCTCTTGAATGACGAAAGTCTTGATAATATATTTCTGAAAACAAGGCCATACCTTCCTTAAATTGTATGAAAGAAACTTACCTTACCTTAATTCTATCCGCTCCAGAAGGCTCATAAGGCCTCAACTCTGGTTGACCAATTCTTTCTGTCCTCGGCTGCTGTTTTGGCTGTATTCCAGGTCCCCCATCCTGCTTGGTTCCTTTCTCTCTCTTCTGTCCTACGCCATGTTGCCTTCGGCCTCCCTCTTGCCCTTTGTCCTTCTGGTGCCCATCCCAATGCTGTTACACGGTTATTCCCTCCTTCCTTTCTTAATACATGATCAAACCATTTCCATCGCCTTCTTCTCATTTCACAACTGATGTTAGTTACCCATGAAAGGAACTGATCAAGGTAAAATACGTGATAAGAAACTAAAAACTGTTATCCGAGGGTAAAACTGCAAGGTTCAGGCTAGGTTCAAACCTAAATATCATATCATTCTTACAAACTGACCACGCTGGTCAACTGCAGTACCCAGGCCTAGTTGTGCTAAGCTTATATCTAATCCGCGGTTGTCAGGTGGTTAAGGCGTCTGACATTCTGCTACCACTAGTCATCCATCACTGGGTTGCGGGTTCGAGGCCTACGTGGGGCAGTCGCCATGTACTGGCACTAGGTCGGTGGTTTTTCTCCGGGAACTCTAGCTTTCCTCAACCTCGAAATTCCGACACGTCCTTAAATGACCATAGCTGTTAATAGGACGTAAAACAAAAACAAACCATATATCTTATACGTATTTAAGGGAAGATTACTGTACGAAAAACTACTGTTGCATTATCAAGTGTTTTGCCTTTTGTAGCAAAACACAGGAGCGCGACATCACTTCCGGTCAAATAACTCTCACAACTGTTATTGAATACCAGGATTTAAATATTTGTTTGTATGATTGTTAATGCTTTAATTGCCCATCGACACAATTACACGATACATTTGTAATGCAGTAACAACCAAGGGAGGTTATTTAAAAATAGATTGTTGCGAAGAGTTTAAAAGATGTAGAAGCGTCCTTTTATGCCAAGCAATGGTTTTCAAGAGCCCAATCTTTTTCCGAGAACAGAGGTACCTTGAGTATTAGCTGTCGTAGTAAGGTCTATCAGTGGGCTCTTGTTTGCATACTGACCAAACAAATGTCACGTACTGTATGTGTCACAGCGAAATATATATTAACATGAAACTATATATTGTCAGCCAGTTCGTAAACAAATAGTTGTATTCAAGCATTTGGCGTGGAAAACAAATATATGAATATACATTAACATGAATTTACGAACCGATACAATACTGTTCTTCTTTTATTTATACATCTACACGTTCTCTTATAAAATGTTTTGTTTTATAAATGGTTGGTATTTTAATCTTATATTCGTCTAAACTTATTTTGCTTAATTATTCTAGAGAAACCTTGAACATGAACTTTAAGTTAAATAACTCCGAACAGTTTGATAAAATTAAGAAGAAACTAGTTTTAAAAATGTTCTTTGCCAACAAACTCAAGCGAGAGAGTATTTATAACGAAACATATATTTATGAATGATACGTTGCGAGAGATACCTTGAAATGAACTTTAAGTTAAATAACTTCGATCAGTTTCATAAAATTATGACGAATTTAGTTTTAGAAATGTTCTTTGTCAAAATACTCAAGCAAGAATATTTATAAAAAAAAATCATGAACATGGTTTCATATTCGTGAGGAAGTGCAAGTCTCGGGTTCTCTGTAATCAATATCAAACAAGAGATCTCTACAAAGAAACATCACAACTGCTGGTTTGGAGACGTTAGATAGCATCGCATGTCCGAAGGAGTTGAATAATGTTGGGCCCACTGTAGATTATTTTTGTTTGTTTTATTAAGTTATTGTTGACACGAAGGGTATCAATAATGATTTTCATTTGCCATTATATGTACCAAGATTTCTGTGATAAAACTTTTCCAACAATCGATTGTTGTCTCCCTTATACATACCTTGACTCCATATGTTGTGGCCCTCTTGTCACAACCATTTCCAATGTCCCAATGTTCAAATGGCATGCAGCATGACTCTACCATATATCCGTGCCCCGGCCCTGTTTCTAGACTCAACAGTCTAGCCACGTCTGTGTTGTGTGTCCCTTGCCACTAACTTGTTGATTAAGTAGTAGATGTTTGGTGGTATACGGTCCCTTGTTCGTTCTTGAATGTTTCGCTCAATATGATGTCATTTTTTTCATATTGACCCTTTGTGACCTTGTGTTGATTCGTCGGCCATAATTTGGCGGCCATTTTCCTCGTTATCTCAATCATCAACAGAGGTAGGTATATACACTATATATATATGTACACCAGCATACAATAATATCGTTCCCTGTAACTCCATGAAGGTGAGAAAATTAGTGATCGCACCTTCAGAATTTGGTGATAGATACAGTATGCCAAAATGAAATACACTGGATCATACAGGTGATTCATTCTATGAGTCATAGGTTACACTAGAAACAATTGGCCTGTTGTGCTCCGCTATATAATCATTAGAGGCGACAGATTCCTTGTAGAAATATATATATGTATATTTATGAATGCAGTTTTTGGGAACACGAGAGAGAGAGAGAGAGTTCATAAGCAGTCGACATCTCTCAAGGAAATTGTGATATTCGGAGTAAGCCATTGAATACCGGGAAGTAGGAGAGGTTGCCATCAAGATAATGGAATTTCAGGATCGGAACATCTAAATTGCTAAGATCATCGCGGAGCCTAGTAGTAAGTCGCCCCAATTGGTCATGCAAATAAATATTGATTAAGACGGAAGAGTCTGTAAGATACGTACATGAACGATCGACGATCGGCTTGGTCAGTAAATACAATATATGTTAACAAATAACATATCATCGATATATCTGTAAATGAAATCGAAGGACTTCTGCAAAGATAAATTTATCATCGTATATTGAAAGGATAGGACTCGTTAAGGCGTCTGTTACCAGTCTTGATAAGTTATATTCAGTTTTAGCTTGAGGTTTGCTATCCAAACGTTATTGAACGTTTCACAATGTCAAGACATGGTATTAGTGCTTGATCGTTATGTTCCAGATTAGATTAATGCCTTCTTGGATGTTGAATCATGTTATGATTTTTCGACGATTCAAACTTACATTGCAGATGCCCATTTTTTCCTAAGATTTTAACAATGAGGGATATGCAAGAAAATCTTCGGCTCGTGTAGTTGTCCTCATTTGACTTATAACACCATCCACAATTCCGTTAAGTGTATGATGTTAATCTTGCGATTATGTTGCAGTGTTGAAGTAAATGAAGGCACAGCATGTCACCTCTATATTCTCGTATGATATCTTGAAGTAACCACGCCCTTTTTTGTAGGGTAGGTTCATATATACCGATAATACAATACCCATGTCATCGACTCTGCCATTCCCGCAGCTGTTTTAATTGTTTTCGCGAGTGTTTTGGAATATTAAGACCATTTTTCCCTGCCCACACAACTCAAACAACTTAAAAAACACGGCTTGAGTATAAAAATTGTCTTCAGTTGATCGAATAAGGTATCGCTTTCAACGCTTAACATTACAAAATACATTTCCAGCACACACACATACTTAGACACACGTGGAGCCACTAGCCAGTTGGTGTATTACTTCACGTAGTTAGCGCCTGACAACAGGGGCGGGTCCAGGTGGGGGCATAATGGGCGTACGCCCCCCCCCCCTTTCAAAAATACCCACAAAAAACCTATCGTAATCTGCTAATATTGTATTGAATATGGCAATTTATCATATTCATTAATTAAACACATAAACACCCTGACACTTTAACTATAAAATATACATGCTCCAAGTCAGGAACCGTAACATTAGTGCATTTCACAATTATTTTATGTTTTTTAGCAAAAAAAAGGTCCGCTCGGCGAAATATTTTATTCTACGCCCCCTCTTTCAAATATCCTAGAAACGCCCCTGGACAAGGCAGCTCCACTGTCATACCCATAAATTGTATACTTGTTGATAGAATGTATCGAAATATATATATAATTTATTCAGTGATTTACATTAACCTTTTCTTTATAGATAGGGTGTTTGTGCGCACGCCATAGAGTTAGTACAAATCTGAATCTTGATATATATTATGTAATTTTATACATATTCCTTGTTTTATCTTTCAAACAATAACGAAGCGTTTTGCACCAGGAACAATGTGTTAAACGCCTTTTTAAGATGATGTTTTTGTTGTTGTTGTTGTTGTTTTTGTTATACATAATCAAGAATTTCGTCCACGGTATGTCATTATTTACGCGGTTTTCGCGGCAATGTGAATCCGTGAAATCAACGCGTCAAGAACAACACCATGTAATAATACACCAGACAAACGTTATCTGAAATTTTTTAATTCTCAACATTGCAGGAAATTATAGTTTATTCGCATAAAACGTAAATATTAAAATAAAACTAGAGAATAATCAACACAAGTTGTAAGATTGGTTTTAAATCCCTCAAATATATATCTTTCGTGTATCTAATGTATAATCTGATTTAAATCAAAATAATTATAAAAATAACACTTCCCGATACCAAATAAAACTGCGTTATACGGCCAAAATGTATTCGGTAAGCATGTATTGAATATGTATGGTTGTAGTAAATTAAATATCCTGTACCTTTAAGTTGTAAACTTTTGGAGAGAAAAAAAATGAAATAAAAAAAAACCACGATATTAGGACACATTTTGGCATTATAAAGGGGACGTCCAAACATACTGCGTAATTGCTTACAGTTTATATACACGTATGGGCATTGAAAATAATGCGACTACAGTCGCTAGCTTACGTCGTAATTAATTCATTCTCACATGAAATATGCACAATAAAATCAGACATGTATACGAAGACTGCAATGATATGAATCACACAATTATACCAGCCGACACGATCAATACATCGATCAATACATTCAAGCGCAATTGTATCACGTTTGTCTTACGAAATAACGGGAATTCCCTCGTGCAGACGATCCACGAAAGTCACCTTGGCCTTTAAGCAAGGAGACGGTGATCCGCCAAACGTAGGTCGAATGTATTATATTGGGTTTCGAGGACAAATACCGAGAACATCCGTATAGATTATCTGGTAAAAGCCGAGAAGTTCCGTTAATTGTGCAGGGTTGTCTCGTCTGACCGTTCAATACACGTGTGACGACCGGCGTGCGTTGTGGCTACGTGTCTGAGTGCAGGAGTGCAGTTTTTACAACGGAAGTATTGCGTAAATCCCTGTTATGTAATAGCCTGTTTACTCAATAGACATTTATATTTGAAACGCATGTGTTGAAATTATCATAACACTACTTGATCAGACACGACGTAGGTGTGTCCGACGATTCGCAATATCACAGGGGTATTACCAAGTCTGCGATTGTTTTTTTTATAAATAGACGTTCATGAGCTATTTATAGCGTGTTCTCTCACAGTGACTGCCGCAATATCACTGAGTAACCACTCAAAACCTGGAAGGAAGACATCATATTTGATCTGTTACGATCGATAAACAATTATTTAACAAAGTTTATACATTGTATTTAGAAATATAATTTATTCATAGAAATGTCGAAATTTAAAGTTTACATAACGAGGAGGATACCAGATACAGGTCTGGATCTACTGAATGGCCACTGTGACGTAACGAGTTGGGAGGAAGACGAAGCTATTCCTAATGAGGAAATACTGAAGCACGTGTCGGGGATAAATGGACTTCTATGCATGCTGACAGATAACATTGACAAGGAAGTTATAGAAAAGGCCGGTAAGTGCAATGATCGCTATACACTAGTCCTCCGTAACATAAGAGCTTAGTTTTTGTGTACGTGTCCGTCCTTACGTCCGTTTTGACGTAAGCTGGGTTGTGTATATTCCATATGTTTGTACATTTCATATGTCCATCAGGGCGATAATAGTTTGACTAATGAAGTTGTTTTATGCATCGTATATTTGTCTGTGCGTCCGTCTGTGACGTAAGTGAAGTTATTGTACATGCATAGGTAAATATTTGAAACTATTGTATATTTGTCTGTGCGTCCGTCTGTGACGTAAAGGTAAATATTTGAAACTATTGTATATTTGTTTGTGCGTCCGTCTGTCACATAGGTGACGTTATTTGTATATATTGTATATTTGTTTGTGCTTCCGTCTGTCACATAGGTGACGTTATTTGTATACATTGTATATTTGTCTGTGAGTCCGTCTTTGACGTAGGTGAAGTTATCTGTATACATTGTATATCTGTCTGTGCGACCGTCTGTGACGTCATTGAAGTTATTTGTACACATTGTATATTTGTTTGTGCGTCCGTCTGTGACGTATGTGAAGTTATTTGTATACATTGTATATGTGTCAGTCCTTTCGTCTGTAACGTTAGTGATGTTATTCATTGTATATTTGTCTGTGCGTCTGACTGAGACGTGTGTGACCTTATTTGTATACATTGTATATTTTTCTGAGCGTCCGTCTGTGATGTAATTGAAGGTATTGTTTGCAATGTATATTTGTCAGAGCGTCAGTATCTAAGTGAAGTTATTGGTTTATAGTATAATCGTCTGTTTGTTTTTATGTCCATAGCCATGACGTTGGTTTGTCTGTACGTCCGTCTCTGACATAAATGAGGTTATTGAATGTATGTTTGTCTACACGTCCGTTTAAACATGTGTGGATACTAACGGTCACACACAAACAAACACAGACCACTGCCCTGGTAATATAAAGGACAAGGATCATTATAGGTACAGTCCCCTGTGATACAATAGCTATACCATAAAGACAAGGTCGTGATATAGGTTGCTGTGGTATACGTACCTGTATTGTGTATGCAATCTTGAAAAGGTACGAATTAAGCTACATGTGAGTACAATCCCCTGTGTGAGAAAGAGAGGTAGAGACAATGAATTATGTCCCCTGTGTAAGCTGTGTTAGCTGTGTTCTCCCAAGTTGAGAGGGCAAGCTTTATAATTATGTACCTATATATATATACATATGTATGATAAAAAGGATTAAATGTCCATGTGAAGTAAGTAAATATAGAAAAAAATAAGATTTAACAACCGACTAAAAAACTAGCTGCTTTTATCCTTCACATGGCTCTTCATATGTTTATATTAAGAGAAGCGGGTTCGTGCTACAGTACCTTGTGCTATCGTATCTTATCGTTGATGTTGGCATTTATCAATCATCCTTTGACAATTTAAGATTATGTAAGCTTTCAAGTGACGTCATAAGCAGCACTTGTTAATTGAAACACGAATATTGACTTTAACGGTAGCCATACTAGTTTCAAAACATCCAGCTTCGGTAACTAAAAGGGTACTGGCAGAACGCATTGTCAACATGACTGATTTTCAAAGCGTAAAATCTATAGAATATAGAAAATAGAAATATTTCAGAAAGGTCAACATAAGTCGGGGGAGGGGAANTTATTTATTCATTTATTTTACAACAATTATGAAACATTTTATACAAATGTATCAACGTAAATCCATCCATGTGTTAGCCCGGATGTTTGTGCACAGGGCAGGAAACCGGAGTACAGTACCGAATGAAACCCACGCGGTCGGGAAGATGACTTGCTAGTTATAAAATGTATGCAATGAAACAAAATGCAGTGTGAAGGAAACATATATATGCGATGCTACTGCATTATTTATTTGATTATATATTGTTTCGGTTAAAAGAAAACAAATGAGTATGCTAGGTACAAATACAATAAGGTTACAAAGACGTGCAACACGTTTAATTGAAATGAAAACAAATAATAACAAGACGTAAAAAACATTTCTTGTTAACTAGTTAAGGGAGATAACTCGAATAGATATCATAGCTACAACATACGATACATCCTTAAGTTAGTGTAGTGGTTACTATACTTGTATTGGTATTATATAACTCCGCCCATGTTATGCAATACTACACAGTAATGTGTATGATACTAACCAAACACCAGCTGGACTATCTTACTCTGATCACATATGTTTTTTTTATCTCTTTATACTGTTGTGAAAAAAATGCACATTGCACTGGTAAGAAGAAACAATGCAAAAGGTCACATAACCATGGCCGTAGCCTGCAAAGAGAGGGGGCGGGGTTAAATCCCATGCACCGCTACCGCCTTCCCAACCCTAATCCCAACCCCCTCCCTCATGATAGTTTTGTGCTTAGATGTATACTGCCTCCGTGAGGCGAAGATCCCCGGACCCCCACCTTGGGACTTCACCCCGGGAGCCCAGTTTCAATTAGCCCTTGCCCGACCCATACCTTTCCAGTTTGGTCAAGCTAGGGTCATGGTGTCAGCTATTAAAAATAATCTTGATATTAAGTCCACAACTTCATAAATAACACATAAAGAGGTCATATATATGTAAACGTTATGTGTCTATAAATAAAATACGTGATGTGAAACAGTCACATTTCTGAGAATAGATTAGTTTAACATCATGTGTTTATATGTGTTTATCACGTAATTTAAAAATAACATATAACTGTCAATGTCACATATCTGTAATAGCCCATTTATAACAAGGTCTCACTATAAATACGCTATTACTGTTTAATGGATTTGTCTTTTATATAGAGCATTTACGCGAAAGTAACAAGACGGTACCAAACTTTATCATTTAGTCCATTGATATCTGCTCATATATCTTGAATAGTAGAACATTAAATAATGTAGGGGTCCCTTTACTAAAGATCGTCGTTAGAAAAAGGATATTAGGTTAATAGTTTGTTGTTTACGTGCAAACATTGAACTTTTCCAGACAATCAGATTCATTGAAATATTTCCGGGTTTAACACCCACAATGATAATATTTAGGCGTACAAACGAGCAACATGGTAGCTGGCACGTACACGTTATAGGCGTACAAACGAGCAACATGGTAGCTGGCACGTACACGTTCTCTGTGATCTTTTTGTTTACGCTTAATAAGAGTTATTCCCCCTCGTGCATGATTAGACGCTCAAATGATAAAAAAACACTAAGTCGGGAGTACAAAAGGGGCGTGGCTCCACGGATGATCTCGTCCTACGGTCTGTATGTGTATGATGTGCACGTATGGATTTCTATCACGTGGTTTGTATGTGTGTGTTATGTGTATTATAAATGAGACGTACATGATGTGCACTTGCCACACCTCTTTCCTCTGTGTGTGACGTACATCATTAGTATGTACGCATATTGCTCGGTAAACAGGATATTCGATTTTCTCTCGAGTTTCATAAATAAACACATTAAGAGCAGCTGCTATTTTCACACTGTTTAAAACTAGCATCAGCAGCCGATAAAATTATTAATATTCCAAGCAGTCAATAAAACGTCAGATATATAGACATTTTCTGTCTTAGTCGACTTATCAGAGATAAAATCGGTTATTACGAAGCTGACACATTCATCGCCGGTTTTAACGGTAGTTTTTGTTATACGCTTCACATTTAGACTGAAACTTAACGTATAATAAACCAGCAACGTAATATCATACCTAATAACATATTTGTCATACCGGTACATCATAAATCTGTTAATCGGCATGAATATTTGATATTAGATGGCTTAATATCCAACATACGTCACATGTGGCCCTTATAATTTGTTTGCTTGTTTGTTTGGTCAAGGTTTTGCGACCTCTTAAAAGTTAATTGTATATCAAGACAGTGCCAAACATGATGGGCCACTCAAGGGCCAGTAAAATGCAAATTTGCTGGCATGTCATCACGTCGATCACAGGGACTTGCGAATTGGTTGTAGCAGGTATAGACCTATCCTGATCTGTAGAGAGTAATATTAGAGGAAATACGGGTTTAGATCAACACTGGATAAAAGGCCATCCTATGTAACTGTTACATACCCCCTCCGCTGTGATCTTATATATTAGTTTATACTCCACGATCATTAGGGAGTGGAGAGGGATTGACATTTGAACAAGTGTTGATTTTAATCCTTAACGTGTCTAAAAGTACTCTCTTCATATCTGAATCGGTCCACGTTCAAATATACCTACTGTAAAAAAATCCCAGATGCCTGTGACCAGGATAAGCTACTATATGCAGCATGGCATCCCCACCCAATCAAATTACTCCACACACAAAATCTGGGCGAGCGAGAAATACAGCAGAACGAGATCCTGTGCTTTTACACTACTAGCTGAAAAAGCGATTGGACGATTCAGATTTATGTGAATGCATAAGAGTTTGAGAGATGTAACGCTAAATATTGATAACATTTGAATATTCACTGTGAAAGCAATCTGTGTCATGTACGCAATACATAAAGATATAGAACATCTGTGTCGGTATAATATCTAGTGTAATGTTTATTTTATGTAACCTGAAGTATTACGGAGAATATTGATGTTGTTATTCCTTAATCATTTGTAAATAATCTTGAATCTTGCAATGGCAACAGTAGATCAAGTTTAACACGCTTCTAGACATGTGTTCCATAGACTCACGGACACAATTTCCGGATTCTGGAGTGGTTTCCATATCAATCGCCTCCTAGGATCATCCAATTTGATCATTTTCTGACGCTCGCAAATCTACTGGGTTTGTTAGCCTCAGAGAAATTAAAATATCAGCACATCACGCTAGAAGGCACCTATCATACACATATTTCTTCTGGGAGTAATGAAGGGGATGAAGATCAGTGTCTTCCATTGACTGTTCATAAAATTTCGCTTAAATTGCATCAACCCCGTTGATTGTTCATAAAATGTCGCTTAAATTATTGTAGGAGCCCAGGGCCATGTTTCATTATGGGCGTTTGTGATAGAGGTGCACGTTATTTCATTTTACCATCCAATCACTTATGAAACTTTAAATTATTCATCTAGTCAATCTCATTAATTGGAATATATACACAGGGACCTGATAGTCTGTTGAATTAGGTATGTATGGTTCGGATCACACTAAACATTGATGGAAACATTTAACACCGTTTACTCTCTGCATATCAGGATTGGGCACAACAAAGTAACAAATCTCCACGTCCCTGTGATAATACACAATGTCCTTACACAGAGACAGGTGTCAGAAAAGTCTTCACTTTCCTGTCTTAGTTTTCCCACATATCAATTAAAGACAATTAGGATACGGGATGTAATGGACAATAGACAAGCTGAAGGTGTGTGAATAGCGCTCAGCATATCACAAGCTCCGTTTACGTGGAGAATGAACACTCACATGGCTCACAATCTAGATGAAAACAAATTATACCATGCAATAAAACTTAAGTTAGCTGTGTCCAATATGTTTGGAAAAACATCTCGATCTCTTCTTTGTCCCATCTCTTACCTACAATTCTTTCTTGTCATATGTATATTTAAGTAGCTCTAACATTGCGTGATATGTATGTAATCAATCAAGTTTTGTCGAAGAGGACTTTAATAAGTTGGCAAAACTTGTGTCCAATTCGTTTGCAACATCTATTATTTGCAATAAAATATGTTTAAATCAATGAAACACATTTTTTCTCAAGAAAAAGAAACTTATTTCATTAGGATAATGAGGATTAAAATGTTGATATCTCGGGAATTTCTCGAGCGAGCTGAACGATATATAGTACCCAGTGCTTCGTTTATCACAGGGCCATCTCTGAAGGTGATCACAACCATGTCTGTGGGTTACGAACACATAGATATAGAGGAGTGCCGAAGGAGGGGAATCTTGGTTGCTAATACTCCGAATGTCTCCACGGACAGCGTAGCCGAATTGACCCTATCCCTATTGCTACTGACCGCGAGGAGACTGATCGAAGGTAAGGCAATAATAGGCACGTGTTTTGGTGGTTGGTAATGACGCCAATTAGGACCAGACAGATCGAACACGTCCTTACAGTAAATGTTTAATGGCGTCTGAAATAGGCTTGGAAGTCTTGAGTAAGAATTCCGGCTAGACTAGAGGAACGTTCTCGTACATTGCTTTTATGATATAACATCCTTCTATATCTACATCGACAGATACCTATGAGGGTTCGTATAATCAGCTATTCAACATTATGTGCTACAGGTCTAATGAACCCTTCGCATCCACGAAAGGTCTATTTCATCAGTTGTAGCCACGACAATAAAGCAGGCCTAAAATATGTGCTGTATACACGTCAGAATTACAGCCTCATTGGACCATTTGTGCACATGTCGGTAAAACTTATACAGGCCTACTTGACCTGTTGTATTCACGACACAAATACAGGCCTACTGGGCTTGTTGCAAACACGACACTAATGCAGTCCTACTTGACCTGTTTTATACACGACTTTACATGAAACTCGTACAGGCCTTCTGGACCTGTTGTATACACGACGCTTATACAGGCCTAATTGAGCTGATGTATACACGACTATATACTGAATTACTTGACCTGTTGTATACACGAGACTTAAACAGACCTACTTGAGCTGATGTATACACGACTATATATAAAACTACTTGAGCTGATGTATACACGACTATATACAGAACTACTTGACCTGTTGTATACACGACACTTATTAAGGCCTACTTGACCTGTTGTATACACGACACTTAAATGGAACTACTGGACTTGTTGGTTTACACGACACTTATACAGGCCTACTAAGGAGGCACGGTAGTCCAGTGGTAGGACGCCGGACTCGTGACATAAGGGTTGCGGGTTCGCGCCACGGCACGGCAATGTGTTGTATCCTTGAGCAAGATACTTTACTCCGCTTGATCCGGTCGACTCAGCTGAAAATGAATACGTTGTTGGGCAGTGCTAGAATTGTTGAATGCTAGCTGTTAGCGCCCCAGGGAGTTTAGAAATGTACTGGCTAGTTAACGTTGAAAAGGCCCTATAACCACGGATAATAATTTGTGAACCGCTTTGAGACGACCTACGAACTAGGTTGTGATAAAGCGGTATGTAAGAAAGAGCCTCCAATTATTATTATTATTACTTGGCATGTTGCATATACGACACATATACAGGCCTATTGGACCTGTTGTGTACACGACACTTATACAGGTATAGTGGACCTGAAGTATACACGACACTTATACAGGCCTACTTGACCTGTTATATACACGACACGTATGCATGCCTATTTTGCCTGTTGTATGACAAATATCATTGCATATAGGTCCGAGGCGTTTTGTGTGTGAGTGTATGCGTGTGTGGAAGGGGCAGTACCAATCGATTTGAGCACTGCACACAATGTGAACGTACTGACATGTTTACGGCAGGTGTAAAAGGCCTGTATTTCTATAATGGAAGCCTTGCCCAAGTCCGAAATTATCCAGTGCGAGAGGCCATCCATTCAATCACCTGTAGATACAGTAAATTAACACATACGGGTGTTGATGTTACAGGTGTAGATTCCGTTAAGAGTGGACACTGGGGTCCCTGGAAGCCAATGTGGTTGTGCGGTGTCGAACTGACCGGCCGGACAGTGGGAATCCTCGGACTTGGTCGGATTGGTTGTGGAGTTGCCAAGCGTGTGCGTCCATTCGGAATCAGTCGAATCCTGTATAATGACATCTGTGAGGTAAATATATGAAATAATTTTAAATCTGGTTTCGTTTTGGTTAAATTTATAAAGACTGAACTAAGTTAATTGTTTACGCTAATCGGTTGTTAATTAATTTGATATGACAATATGTAACTTCGGGAGAAATGCTATAATGTATATTGTCATCGGTTATATTTAGCAAAAACATAGAAATGACGTATATTTATGAGGAGATCAATTACTGCAAAATTTCAAATATCTAGCTATTATAACATAATATTTTATTTATCATTTGTAAATAAGGGACACCTCGATTATGTGCTCGTTTGAGCTCTCTTCGCGAAACTAAATTTGCAACTAATCGTGTGAAACGCAATTACGAAAAAAAGATATATTTTCGTGAAAATTGAGAAGTTCACATCCAGTGTATATTTTAATACCACACTCCATATCATACGTGTTATGGTAAATGTTAAGATCTACCATGGATATCACGTGATAGGTATGGTGTCACCTGCCCCACTACATGGGTTTTCTCCGGGTACTCCGGTCTCCTCCTATGCTTAGACCTCCGCGCGCTTACATCCGGGCCAATAAAAGTGATTAATATAAGTTGACATAACTTGTTTAACAATTGTTGTAAAATAAATAAAGTTTATTTTTATCACGTGATCGCATTATATTACAGGTAAGCTATGCTGGTGACGTAGGTGCTGAGTTTACCGATTTCGATACAATGATAAAGGAGTCGGACGTGGTTATTATATGCTGCAACCTCTCAGAAGCCACGAAGCACAAGTTCAACAAAGACACCTTCAAAAAGATGAAGAAGACCGCCATCTTGATCAACAGTGGTAGAGGGGGCGTGGTCCAGCATGATGATCTCTATGACGCACTCACTTCCGGTGAAATTTATGCGGCTGGATTGGACGTCACCGAACCGGAACCTCTACCACATGACCATCCATTGGTCGGTTTGACGAACTGCATCATACTTCCACACATGGGAAGTAACACGTGGGATTCTAGAAACCACATGGCCGAGATAGCAGCCAAAAATATCCTTTCAGTTATGAATGGCGAGGTCCCTTACGGTCTTGTAAAATAAAGGTTCGGACCAAAGTTGTACTTGGTACTTACAGAATAGCATAGGTCAAAGGGCACATGAATAATTTGTTTGGTGTTTTATATTAAGAACAATGTTGGAAATATGTTATTGATATTTTGCTTTGAAATACTCACATGATTAGCAGATGGTATTGAAACGTTAAGAATCTCATAAAACTAACAGTTATTAAAGTCAAGGTCAACGTTCGTTAACAATTTTAATTTTCAATGACATAGACAATGGTTTTTAAAACGTTAATGAAAGATTTTGAGTGCCATTTAATTCAGTATGCTATTTTTGTATCTTTGATATTCATATTTTTTTGTATTTTATTCTAACACGCGTATATATGTCACAAAATGTCACTTATGTTCAACAAACATTCACATGGTTAAATACAATTACAGCAATATTTAAGAAATTGATCCATTAAAAATAGAAATATACAACACTCGTTACAACGCCCTATCTAGCTAGAATAAGCCACTCTAAAGTGCTTTACAGTACATGGATTTAAATTTTTTATAATCAATACAAGTAGCATATACATTAATCAATACAATTTTGTGGAATTCGCAGGTACTTCCTTATCAGGCGCTAACAATTAGTCCTATGGCACCTGGCTAATATCTCCATATGTGTGTTAAATATAACAAAGTCATAGTGACCTAATTATGGACTATGTGCTACTTTTTCTGACATTTTTATTATTTCCATTTTTAGTTTTTTATATACAATATACATTAATAAGAAACTTCCAAATATTACATGCAGGTTTTTTTTATAAAATTGTGTGATGGTCCCCACTTTACCCCCTCATATCTCGGAATGGTTTCCGAGCTGACTATAATTTCATGTCATATTATAATAAAATAACCCCAAGACATGTAGAGTTATAGATACACTAATGCAGAAAATTGGCACCACTCCTTTGAAGCTTTGTATTCATGTTTTTTATCACTGTATTATCTTTTCAATTAATAGATGTCTATTTAATTTTGAATTCGATAAAGAGTAAGTCATTTATAGTGTTATCTGTGACCAATTACATGTGAATTTGGATACATCTGGGACATCCGGTTTGTATACTAAGGATGACGCTAGGCTACCATACAACTGACAATAAGCGCCCTATAGTTCATCATGATGACCAATACTGTTAATCAAAGAATCGTACATTTTATTTCTCATTTTTGTTTTTTTCTTGAAATCTCAACAAAGAATCAATGAATTATATATAATAAACATATTTAATAATAATACACACTGAAATGGACAAATACATAATGTTGTATATCAACGTCTTATAGGGTAATGCATTGTATTTTGGTCCTCTTACTATTTTTGTTTGTTATTGTCTATAAAACTGTACATACGTCTATTGCAGATAGTTTGGTAACGTATAGGTTATTCTCACATGTAAGCATAACTTGTTAAAGGTGTATAATATCTCTCACTGACCACACATATAGATGGTTCTTATCAAATTACTTATATCCCTTTTCAGGAGTTAACGATACGTTGAGACATTTAACTGTTTCGATTTAAATCGGTAATTATAGTCTTTACAGTTTATATGACGATGATGTAGTTTTCGTTTGAGGGGGAAAGCACGCAGGCCAAACGTATTTCTGTTTATTTAAGGAATATTTGTCAGTCACGGTGATGTTATGAGATGATAAATCGACTTGTGCACAATTAATTGACAACAGAAGAAGATAAACTATGAAATAGAAAAGATTATGGCAAAAAAAAAGAGTTCAATTGTGTACAAATAGTGTATTACTTTTGACAGGGGAGGTAAGTCTTGTGATAGGGAAGATAACTCTTATATAACTCTTATATGATCGTTAACTCCTGAAAAGGGATAGAACTCAATTTTTAGCCCGTTTTTTAAAATTATTTTATTATCTGATATATGTATTGTCTCATCTAAGTCGTATTATGTACCAAATTTGTTCTTTTACAAACTGGGATATACACTTTTGTGTATATTTTGATTTTATTCTAAGATGTTTTTAGCATTATATTATAAATGTTGCTTATAGAAATAATCCACTGAGTATATTATTTTACATGATTAACACTTGTCTTGTCTATTTTAGGTAGGTTACCCTACCTGTCCATGATTTGATCTTGCAATAGATTTTAACGGAAATAAGCCCACTCTAAGTACAGTATTAAGCCTGATTCTTTATATGTTTTATATATTTCACAGGTACGAAATAACTGTGAATATCTATGTATGAAGGTACAATCCTTACTCTATGTAAAAGATTGATTTTTTCCCCATGTATGTTATATTTATTAACTTAAAATTCCACGTAAGAGCTTCACTGTATCGTGTTTATTTTAGGTGTGTCCAAGACGCAGTCACACATATCCGGTTTGTCCTTATATGGTATGATCATGTGATAGTTGATGGTATAGCTATATGTGTAGTACTATATGTAATATAGTGACACACTTATATTTTTGACGTGTTTACGATTGTTGAGATTATTAAAGAGTTAAGCTTATTATAAAGTTGATTATCCCTGTTAAAGTGTTGTGTATCTGTATTGTAGCACAGACATTCGAAAGGTATAAAATGGTATCAATTCAACAGAAAAAATATGAATTTTGACGAAAAAAATGGATATAACGTTTTCAAGAACTCTTGGGCAGATTAATATAATAGTCCTAAATTAAAAAAAAAATGCATATTAATTGTATAACACTATTCCCATGGCCACAGGGGCTTAAATCCTAAAACAAAATTAAGGGAAAAATTAATAACCGGACTTGGGCAAGACTATCCCAGGCTTGCTCAAGTCCGTGGTGTTTTCATTTTATCATAAGGGAAAGATAATCTACTCAAGACCAATGTGATCTCTCCTTAGTGTTTTCCAGATTTATCTGGCCATTTGTCCTGAAATTTTGTAAACATCAACTTTGTACACGTCCTTTAGATTTGTCTGTGCTAAACGTCTGAATAGTGTCTGACAGTGAGAGATGGATATTGGATGGAGATGAATATGTAATATATATGGTAAAAGAAACGTAAGTCCTGATTTAGAATTTGCTGAAATTAGTGTTTGCAGTGATTTAAACAATAATCTATATAATAGAGGGTGTAAAACAATATCCGAAGATATTTCTCTATTATGTTAATAAATTGTTTCAATCACTGAAAGGAAAGGAATTTCATTCACTAATAGGGCCCCGAGTTACTGTTTATAGTGATTTTATCTAAAAGGGGCCAAAATGATATGTATTCTCCATATAGAGGGTCCAACTTACTGATTATTGTTCTTATTATTTTGAATAACTCTTTATGAAATTCTCAATGTTTTTTACGCCTAGATATAACAAAAAATGTTTCGATGCTATTATGCTACTATTGTACTTATATTAAGCTATCCTCATCATCTCTAATGTTTTGAGCTTCTTAAAACCTGAATTTCTCATATGTATTTAATATAGAAACTTAAACTTCAATTTAGCTTAAAGGGGTATACTACTCTACAGTACTAGCATGGATTTTTTTCAAAAGAGTTCCAAACTACTTCAATTTTCCTTATCTTTTACCAATAGTATCTTGAACTTTGTTCATTTGAAATTGTTCGCATACAATGCATTGACACTCGTCAAGTGTAGACAATATTAAATACGTGTTTTGAAGGGAGATAACTTCAATACAAGTAAATGATGTAATCTACATAGGTACCATGCACCTTTAATCGAAAACTATGTAAACTATGTATTGTCATTCGGAGCACCTGGGCCGATTAGATCGACCGAGTCACCAGATTAATCTGATTTCAGTAAGGGCTGACGAAGACAAACAATGAGGTCGCCGAAAGCTACCCTGTTGAGAGACACTGTTAAATTGTTTGTTTAATATACATCCAAGTCTTTCATGAAAGGTAGTGTACTCGGGTCGAGGTGTTCCGCATGTATGATTTGTAAGTGCGTTTTGGTCGTATATACAGGTCCATTTAGCATAAGCAGTGACGTGTTTATGTTAAGACGTTCGATGAATAGTTAAATATGTTGTACTCTGCCACCTTCATCAGAACAATAAACCTGTGAGGCGTATGAACCTAATGTAAATTTTCAGTATTTCAGAATTTCTATGGGTCAAATTAAAATTCTATGGGTACAGGACGAGGAGTCGCATGTAGACTTATCACTGCATTTTTGTTGATAGCTTTGTGTCTGTCCCCTGTGATAGTATGTGTATTAATTAAGGATGCATGTCTCACAAAATGACATGTGAAGCGTATGAACCCATAGGTGTAAAGTCCTAGTTTACAATAATATGCCGAAAAAGTAGCTACGCCATAATTAATAATCTTATGTATACTCAGTTGCTATACACTATGATAATAGTTCGATGTACTTCTACAGTGATAATATGTTTGTCCATAGTTTTGGGTCTGCCCCCTGTGATAAAAACCAAATTAAAAAAAATCCCACTGTAAAGTTTTATTCATGTACATAAATTAACCTCTAGATCTAGAATATATAACCGTGGCTCGACTTTGCCGAAATAATGCCGTTGATCGGGTTCAAGGGTTCGAATCCTGATCTGATTATCATTGTACTTTATGCTCAGAGCATTGCTATTTTATTTTTTTCATAAAAGTCCAGCGATACATGTTTTTTTCCAGGAATGTTTTTTAAAGTTATAGTCTTCACAGTGCGCAGTTACAGTTTTTGGCAACGATACTGGGTTCCTATACCCAGCCACAAGCTATATGAATGTGAATGGCGGTTGGTCCCGTGCGTATTGGATCTGTATTGTATTCATTAGCTCTTATTGCCAACTCGTTTGTCATCTCGTCGTTTCGTGTCTATTTATAGATTTGTTTTGTGTGTACATGAACTTCCTGGACCAAATGAAATACCAATTAGTGTGATTACGTCACAAGATTCGCCTGAAAGATTAACTATGAATAGTATATAATAAAACTCCTATTTCATACGGGGGCCTGTATCGCTTTGGATTAAGGAAGAAAATATACACAAGAATTGCACACTACCTGGTATAATAAATCGTAGGGGTATTTAAAAAAAAAATAACGTACTAAAAAACAGGCCCCTGTGATTTCTATGCGATAAGCAATCTCCATGCAATAATACTTACATAAAACGTGAAAAGCAGATCGATTGAAAAGTGTTATATACCAAATGTAGTACATATATGTAGCTTCGTATAACTTCTTCATCTACTTATTTTGAATTGATATGTATTTGAACAGAGGTCGTTAATTTTTGTCATTAACTTAATACTTTAATTACTGCGTGTTGTATACTTTTAATCATAAATGTGCAAAGTTTCTCGAAACAAATTTAACATTAATGGCAATTGAATCTGATTTTTATTGTTTGCAAAATAAATATTAGTTTGTTAGAAAAAAATCGTTTGTCATGTTGTGCTGTTGAAACAAGAGGAGAGAATTATTTGTATATCAAATAACTGTTTATGAGAGGGCGTTTAGTGTGACGGAGGTGCCACAGGGGGCTAGGCAAGTAGAATTTCGATAAAATACAGCAATATGAAAAATCAACAACACCACCATTTTGAATGTGAACTATACAAACCAAGGCATATAAATGCAATATAAATGCGTAAGCAAATGTAATTTCATAATTTATTGTCGAAGGTAAGCATCACTATGTTCACTATCAGGGAAACTGGTTTAAATGATATTTAAGCCAAAAATAATGTTCATAAGTTAATGGAAAAATATTATATATTGCATTCTTTTAAAATGACAAATATTATTTGCTTTTGAGCGCATCTAATGGGATTACGAGGATGCATATTAAAGCAGAAAGTTAAATGTAAATCACCGGAAAAAATTCCTTTCAACATTTTATGGCTACGAGAAATATCCTTAAATCTTGTGAACTATTTTTCAGTATACAAAGTTGAAGGACTGCTGTATACAACATTCGTTTGACTTATAGCTTGAAATTAAAACTACATGTACATAAATTCCCACTGTGATTAGATATAAAAATAATAATATACAACATTTGATATAGCGCCCTATCTAGCTAACATAAGCCACTCTAAAACGCTTTACAGTACACAGACATACACTTTGTACAATTAGATCGAACCTCTTTCATTCAGCTAACACCAACTCGGTTGCCCCACTAAACTGTTTGATTCTCTATCCAACCACCACTAATCTGGTTGTCCCACTTTCCAGTCACCACTAATCTGGCTGTCCCATTATATCCAGCTACAACTAATCTGGTTGTCTCAATATCGAGCTACCACTTATCTGGTTGTCCCTCTATCCGGCCACTACTAATCTGATTGTCACACTATCCAGCTACCACTAATCTGGTTGTCCCTCTATCCGGCCACTACTAATCTGATTGTCACACTATCCAGCTACCACTAATCTGGTTGTCCCACTTTCCAGTCACCACTAATCTGGCTGTCCCACTATATCCAGCTACAACTAATCTGATTGTCCCACTATCCAGGCACCCCTCATCTGGTTGTCCAACTATATCCAGCTAACATTAATCTGGTTGTCTCACTTTATCCAGCCATCACTAATTTAGTTGTCCCACTATATCCAACCACCACTAATCCGGTCGTCCCACTACCGAACCACCACTTATCTGGTTGTCACACTATCCAACTATCACTAATCTGGTTGTCACACTATGCAGTCGTCACTAATCCGGTTGTCCAACCATCGAGCTACTACAAAGCCGGATGTCTCAATATCCAAACTGTGTTTTAGGAGACATATATAACATTGTCGCCGTTATACGACCGTATATATATAAATATAGATTTATACTACCACTTTTGCTGAAGACGAAATTTTAAGGATTAAGGTTACGGATCATTGAAGCCCAACCTCATTTATATATATCGGATTTTGCGCACCGTTAATATTACATTTTTAATTGGAAAAATAAACAACTTGTACTTTATATTTTTCATATCGGCTGGTTCGTACACGGACTTGGATGTGTCTGTTTAATTCTGTAATAACGATTCTAAATAATTTTTAAGAGCTGTTATACCTCGGTCAAGAGGTTGTATCAGTACAAAATTAATTAACAATCGAAGAGTTGTCACTTATGTTGTTGGGGGCTAATATTACGATATCGATCCAAAAATTAATCAATATAAAACAGATCGGTTAATCACTGGAAAAAGTTAACGCGGCATATGGCTTCAAAATCATTTATTTTGTTCAATCCTATTTTTGTTAACATGTTCAAAATAAGTTCTGTTCTGACGTTACAGCTTTATTAAGCATTAATATATTCATACACGTTTCCATGGCGCTGTTACGGGTCATTGTCCATATGTAATTAAGTGATATAAGCACTGTCAGTTTCTACTATATTTACTTACCCATGCAGTCACTGGAACCGTTAAGTACCCGGACAAACTTGATACGTCAATAAAAACATTCCGACGGAACACCCAGGCAAGCATGATCTATGTCAATGAAAACCATGGCTTAGCACGTGAGGAAATGTCAACCATTAAAAATCTACAAATAAACGGCTCGTTGTATATAAAGGTTCTTTAACCGGCAATATGTTAGTATTGTTAATAAATACTTTGCATAGAGAGTTTTGATAAATATTTGTAAAATTATATATTATATATAATACTACTGACGGACAGGCGCGGGCGCGGTTGACAGATGTCATTTGCTGCAACTTTTAATACATCAGAGTACGCAAACATTTATTATTAATTTTGATGACAAAACATTAATTATTTGACTAAAATAAAATAAAACTGTTGCGTGCCCCTCTTTTCAGCATGTGAATATTTTGTATATGATAACATCAAGGTCGTATCTATATATATAGGTTTAAATAGTCAAATTGGGGATGTGCATTATCTTTTAAATATATATACGATGTAAATATAACATAAATCTTATATTAAAATAATTGTTTAAGAAATAAAGACTAAAGGTAAAATAGAAATAGTTTTATAAATACAATTCACATATGTCATGCAGGTCATCGACATTTGACCTACTTCCTATTCAGAAAAAAACAGGTCAGAATACTCCCCTCCCATTTATACTTAAAACACGTACTGCTTCTACTAATCTTCCTTTCAATCTTATACCTTTCTTCATCTCGTAGTCAAACAAACAAATGATTAAGAACAGACTCTCCCCCTCCCTGAATTCGGATTTGACAGCTTGCAGCTACGTAATGTATTCCTCTATCTTTTCAACCGTAAACAACAATTTGTACTTTATGGAATATTGTGCATTAAATCAATTGACGTTCTGATGACATTGCAAAATGTACGTAAATGCGTGGGTTGACTTTAGTCTAAATTTGAAATCATGAACCATGCAAAATCGTGACCTAGCAAAAAAGATGTCCGGTTTTCAGCTAGTGTCGACCCACATCGAGATGTGTGTAAGCTACAATACTTGTTTACTGTCGGAGGTGGGTGTGTGCAGATACCAGCATCTGATTGGTAGATCTACTGGCGCGCCCCTCTCGGTGCCCCGCCGAAAACGAGACTCATCACGTCATATGTCAAGGACGGCCTATTTATAAGCGTCGAACAAAACAAACTCCGGGACGGGTGTACACATAGACTGTGTTTATGTTTTAAACGTGAGAGGATCTTAAGTTCTGAGGATGAAACCACGGCCAAAAGTATACATCACATATCATATCCCACAGAAAGGGATTGATACTTTACTCAAAGCCTGCAATGTAGCGATTTGGGATGGAAATCAGGCTGTACCCAGAGGTGAACTTGTCAGCATGGTGAAGGGTGTTGATGCAATTTGGTGTACAGCCGAGGATAAAATCGACCGAGAGTTACTTGAATCGGCAGGTAAGATCAGTTTTTATAAACTATTTATGATCATTTATGTTTATATCACGAGTTGTTCACTGTGGTATGTAATTACAGATCAGTGGTAGAGGAAGTCACAGCGAAAATGCGGTCTATTACACCTGGTAGGCCTACAGTATATTTAGTAGAATCTAGGTCGAAAGCTGTTTTCCAGAAAAAAAATCTGTAACTCGACATAGTTACGTATGGTCATTCATATGTTGGTCGTGAATAGTCTCATGCAGAGAATTAAGAGAAATCGTCAGCCCTACCTGTACTGGATATATCATATTTGACATTTAATCATCATTCGACATGCATGGCTTACCTACTTATAAGCTTCAACAGGCAAATCATTATCAATATATTATATTTAAAAGTCAACCTCCCTTATATAGAAAGGAATTATATAGATAATCTAATTTGAATAAAGTTAAGAATTATTATTAAAAATCAATATGGCTGCCACACCAAACTGTATATCAAATTTAATAATGCGTTTCGTAATTAGGCATTAAACAATCCCTGTCACAAAAGAATCCTCCTCCAATATTTCTCAAACGTAATTGAGGTACATGCACACTAAATTTCAGAAAAAACCCATTCAATAACTGATGACAAACTCAAGTTTTATATGTTCATTTTCCAAGCTAAATGAAAGTCACAATTAAGAAAAAAAAAATTGTAAATATCATAAGGTTGGATGTCCATGGATATGCATTTGTCGAGAGAAATGTGAGAAAATGCTTAAAATCTCGAGAATGATGACATGTATTTTGATTGGATATTTTACAATAATCCATCAAGCTAACAAGCCTTTTGATACAAGTCAAGCCATATTACCTGAGTGAGAACCTGTAGTGAATGGTGTTAAATCTCACCTGCTTTGCATGCTTTTTTCCTACCTAAGTCAGCCTTGTTCGCTTTGTGCTCAGTTGTGATTTATTCAGGGGAAATATATGCCATTATTCTGGAGATTTGACACATTTTCTTACAATTTTCTCGACAAATGCATCTCCATGGACATCCAACCCTATGATATTTACAAGTTTAAATGTGTTTTTTCTGAATTGTGACTTTTATTTAGTTTGGAAATGTACATATATAAAGTGAGTTTTTCATCAGTTGTTGAATGTTTTTTTCTGAAATTTACCTCAATTATGATTGAAAAATATTGGAGGATTTTTATTTTGTGACAGGTTATTGAATTTGATATGCAGTTTGGTATGGCAGCCCTATTGGAATGTCGTTAGCATTCACATTACGTGCACAAGCGTCTAAGTTTGTAAAGTTCAAATATACTGATTTGACACAGGTATTTAGGTTTATCTATATATATTTATATGTCCTTGTGAAGTAAGTAAATATAGAAAAAATAAGATCTAACGACCGACTAAACAACTATTTATGTAGATGTATATAAATAAATAGATGTATTTTTCATGGTTGGAATTTGAAAATAACTAAAAATTAAAGTAGGGGACAAATTGAAATAAAAGAGAGTCTTGAATTATTATTTTTCTCTTTATTTCCCCCGAATCGAAGATTCACAAACAGAACAATACATATATGCATTCATTGAAGATTGACAAAGTAACGTACATAATATATGTCCGTGTCCTAGACATTGTATTATTTTTCTTTTAAATGAAAATAAGTCTCATGGTAGACCTATATATATATATTACGACGATATAGATACTTAATCGTATCTTGTGAGCAGGTATTGATTGTTCCGTCATTGGTTTGTGAGAGTAACGTCATCATTTTTTGAGAAAACGACGTAATTTTCTCACACAAACCAATGACGTAACAATCAATACCTGCTCCCAAGAGAAGATAACTCTGCAATACGCAAAGACGGAATTCTTGTCTATATATATAGCGTCACTTAGTGGTTGTAATTTTTTGACTATATAGGGCTTTAACGCATATAGTTAGAAGGTTTGCTCAATCAGTTTCTGGTGTATTTATTTCGACATCTTCTGATTTACTCTATCTATATAATAGTTTGGATGATATTTGCTAATATTACTTCACTCCGCACCTTTATAAATCCGTCTGTCTAACATTGACTAACGTCTTCTTTAGCGATGGTTGAACCGGGAAGTGTGGTACATGTAAGTGTTAGCTTATAGAGTCGGTCAAAGGAGATACGATTGTTCCTTATCCCCTCTTTATATATTTTAAGTTGAAGTCAACACAATAAGGATACTTAGCTGGATCTACGAAGTAAAAGTTAAAAAAAAAAAAATGCAGTGTTCGCGACCACAGGTAGACACAAGCACATAGATGCAAGAAGGTAATGTTTCAAAGGGATATATATATGATTAAAATATGTTAATCAATAACTATGAAAATAAGGAATATCAATAAATATCCTATTTTGTTAAAATTGCCGGACATTTAATTAGTTTAGCTATTGTGACATAGACAGTGAAACTGATGGCTATATATAGATGTCTACAATGGATTGATTTTGTTTCTTTTATGATATTAACTTTTTTTTATATATATATTCAAAAGCACCACACGAACATGTAACATCTGATAAACTTAAACAGACTCGGTCTTGCATATAATATGATAGCCGTCATCGAAATAATTTATACAATCACGCAGTGGAATACTGCAGGTCTGTTATTTTCCCATCCTCAAATTCAAATGGTTACACTCACTCCCGCGCAGATAACGTGAGAGAACGTACCCATGGAATTTCGAAGATATTCTTCCCCCTAACATGTACAAATACATGCATTCTTCAAATGACTTGACCTCACTGTTTTAACTGCATTCATTCCTCAGAAACCGCTAAAATATTTTACCACAATACAGTTTTAATTGTTTCATCCGACTCATTCCCACTGTTTGTATGTGTACAGTGTTTTGAAACGTAACGGATTCAAATTTAGAATCCGTGTTTTGAGATAACATGCAAATTTCTATCGAAAACACGCGTCCGATATTTACCACTGTTTAAATATATTTATTCATTAAAATGTATAAGGTAATGGGTTAAATTAAGCACTTCTGTCGTGTATACTGATAAAATGTTACTACGTTAAATAATGTGAACATTTTTTTCAAAGAATAAACCAGAAACACATCAATCACATGATCAGTGTATTTGCAAATCATTACGTAGTTTAATGTAGTGTGTAGTCATTGAAACCTTATCATGTTTACTAAACATTTCAGCGTTTTAAGTGGAGTTATTAAGTTTTATTTACATTTTAATTAAAAACACCGAAGTGTTTTTTTTACAGATTTTTTAACACTGATATATCATATATGCCTAGGCATACATCACATGGATAAATAAATTTACACCATCGGTTTAAAGACGTTTTGAAAATGCTTTAAAAGTCGTTACCGACGAAATCATTACGGCCAGCACGTTACCGACGAAATCATTACGGCAAGCACGGTATGTTTGAACAATTTATTTCATCCCTCAGCGGGCGGTAAAGATCTACCTTTCACCGACTGAAGAGTACATACAGTTTACGTAGTTTTATATTTCACCAGTAGACGTCTGTTTACTTTCCTAGATACGTTGGTGTTTCTTAAACGATTCAATTAATTTGGACATCGCTTAAGTTTCTTTTCTTTTCATTTTTCGATTACAGTTGTCAATATCACATTGCGTCAATAAAATTCTGTAATATTTTTTACAAGTTCAACATTAGCATATGTACTGAGGACAAAATATGAACTCAAAATTTACTCCAAAAGTCAAGAACAGGGCCGGGGCGAGATGATAGCCGAACAAAAGTAGATCAAATCGCGAAAACTCATAATCTATATTTCACCACATTTTGCTTTTGGTATGGTCTAAGGGTGATTAATGTACATATTTAATATGTATATATATAAGTATCCCTTATTTGATCTTTACTTTTTTCCTTGTCTGACATTTTGCCGCAGGGGCCTGATCTATATCGGTTTCTAATGACATTGCATCATTCGGATGACGTCATTGGTGAAACCTATAAGATGACGCAACTTTAGTACGTGATCAGCGACCGTGGCGCGTACAATGAGCTTTTGTACCAAGCGACTTATCCCTATTATACTAAGTACAAAAATGTACTACTCCTTCTAGTACTTAGTATACTTTAGTGTATAATAGACGTTGTCCTGATATCTCAAAACACCCGTCTATTTATTTCAAATCTAGGACAAAAATTGGAACGTCTGTTATTTAAACAGTGAAACCAGAATTGTACATGTGACGTCAATTCTAAAATGTTTACACCGACGCTTTGCCACCCGAGGCCACCTTAGTTTTGAATTACATTGCCAGCGAGCTGGAATGATGTGCTCGAAACAGAATAAAGTATAAAGTATTACGCCCAAACATCTAAGATTATATTCCTTGATGTGTGAATCCATGAAAGAGACGCACTTTTCAGTTGGCTGATCCTGAAAAACACTGCAATTTCAAAAAGGTAATCCTTATCCCCTGACTGATATTATCGTAACACACTGGATATTAAATCGAAAGAATTTTGTTTAACATTAAAATAATAATTTCCAGCAAATCTTCATTTGTTAAATTGTTAATTCTGTTTTTATGACTAACCGCTCTCTATAGCGTGTATCTCTGACTGCTTATATGAATGCTTCAACTGAAAACGGTAAAAATGAACGATTAATGGTTGATTTGGACCTAACATAGCAAAAGTAATCGGAGATAATATGCTGTATGAAACACAGGTAAACATCGGGTATTCACATGCAGGTTTAATGAAACAGTATGTAATTGACTTGCCATTGTTTCATAAAACAACACCTGCCTTTTGTTGGTAAATATCTTTGCACTCAGTGAAAACAGCCCTCTCTAAAGCACTCGGTGCCGTTGCATCATACTTTTCGTGACGTCCCTTGTTAGATTTGCTGATGCAACTCCACGCCTGGTCCGCGCTAGCCGATCAGCACACACCACGTTTTCATCACGCGGCGTAAATGTCATAACGAATGATATACGTCTGGAAAAT